TTCTCATGCAGACTTTCAGTGTTCTGCATGAGTGTGGAAAAGTTAGAGCACTTTTCAATGTAAATGTCTTGGTTAACTTCACAATAAATGGATTTTGTAAACAGTCCCTGAAAGGTATGACCTTACTAATGTTAGCTTATATTTTGCCAGGGAAATATGTATCAGGGATGAAATCTCTGATAATTGAATTTTGGATTTTAATTTTTTTTTGTTGTTCACTCCTTTTGGTAGCCTATCGAGTTCAGCGTCCATTACTGACTCCTTAACTTCGCGAAAGGAACTTTAAAAACAAAAACCATGCTACCTGCTGTGTTGCCGGACCATATGATGTGATGCAGTGAGTCACTGTCCTTGGGAAGACCAGGCTGTGCTTTGATCAACAAAACTTTCTCTGGCACTGAGTTGTGATGACTGTCTGGAAAAGAAAACAGCCAAGTGAATTCCTAAACTTGACAGTGGCAGTAGGAAGGGGGTGGGGAGATGGGGAAGTTAATTATTTTCCACCTCCAAAGAATACAATTGCAAGGAAGGAACTTTCTGATTCACGGGTTCCAGGACAACAGGATGTCAAGATCCATGCCTGATGTAACACTTTTGCACTGAAGATGGGAGGAGGAAACAGATTGCCATTGGTCTATGAGTGTGACTGCTGAAAAGGGGTTGGATTTAATGATTTCTGAAGGACTAGATTGTAGGAAATGATTCACATTGCCCTTTTTCTAATGAATCTGTTGAGTAGAGGACTCACCAGATAGAAACATAAATCAACAAAGAAAGCTCTGAAGGACAGACCAAAGAAAGGGCTTGGGTGCTGCAGTACTTGGTTTTCATGACTGGTTGCCTAGTGGCATTAGCACCTTGCATCAGGTACTTAGATTTTTTTGTACAATTCTTAGGCAGGTGAGGGGCTTACGGATGTTGGTGAGTAGGAAATGCATTTTGTAGACAGCATGAAGTACGCGGAAGGAATAGTGTATCTTACCTCCTCTAATCCTAGATGTGGGTACCTTAGCACGTTTGGCTACCTTGTCGTCAGCAGTCACTGCTCTGGCCCTGCTGTTGGAGACAGGGAACAGATGGTTCTTTTTCTCCCAGAACAGAATGAATTGGGGGGCTGTGCTTCTGCTCTTCCTCTCTTCCTGACTGAGGAGTTATTTACTCTGCTAGAATGTGAGAAATGGGGGTTCTGTTCTGTGCTATGGCTGGGGGTGTTTGAATCTGTTATCTCCCAGGGAGTATATCAGTCATTATGCAGCAAAGAGTGGCCCTTCTTGCCAGTGACATTCCCCTCTTTAAAAGTGAAATTAAATGCTTGTTGAAGAAAAGGGGTAAGGAGTGCTCACACACGTCTGATGGTTTGAGTACTCACATAGAAAGAAGAGACCTAGGTCCTGGTCTGCCAGCTACTCACTGTAGTATTTTTTCTAATGAGTTATTTCAGACAAACTAGAACTGGAATCCAGGTGTCCTGCTTCCCAGGTGAGTGCCCTGACCGCAGGGATGTAGTATCATGTTAATTCTCTTTCTTTCTAGTTCAGTGAATATTGTAGATGAGGTACGACAGCTTCAGTAGCAATGAATGAGCGCACAACAAGTCTGAGGGTAAGTGTTCTTTTCTAGGAAGCTCACGACAAGAGTTTAAATCCTTATGATAAAGAAGAAAGTTGAGCATGTGCCACCCACATCCTGGCTGAGTGATCTAACCAGTGGGTGTGGGCAAGAGGGGGAAAGGAAGAGATACTGAAACTCACATGTTTCTGCTAGCATCTTGTAGCGACCAAGCAAGCTCTCATGAAAAACCTGTAAGAATGCATCCAAATCCAAGGAAAGCGGGACTTAATATTTTACAAGCCAGCTGTGGTGGGGCTTTGGTTTAATTTCAGCACTGAGCTGCATAGTGCTGAGAAAGCCCAGATGATAAAAACCATTGGTACTGCCTGACCTGAGTGGTAACTGAGCAGAACTTGTGGCAATTTAGATGCAGGGCCTCCTCACTAGTTTTTTTGGGCTTCTAAGCTCCTTTCTGGAATATAGACCAAAGTGGTGATCTAGATGCTAAAAAGTCATCTATAACAGAGCTGAAATTTTGGAGGATTAAAAACAAATCTACAAAATCATGGTTTAAAACATATTTATATCTCTGGTAGGTCAGGGATAATCTAAATCGAAAGGGGTATATTTTGACTCAAATAAATATGTGACATTACATAATAGATTCAAAGCAAAAAGCTGTCTTTTTCTTTGACTTTATTAGAGCAGTGTCACATGGTCCCAACTCCTCAGACTAAGTGCCTCATTTTCAGATGCCATTGCCAACTGCAGTAACCTTGATTGTAGGTCCTCATATTCCTTCCTTCGATCGCAAGTTTTCAGACTTGTGTAATGTTGGGTAAACTGAAGTTCTGCGATCTGTGCACCGGTTTGATTCAGATTGTTCTTTCTTGCGGAGCTTAGGCTTCTGCAGACAGCTTAATGAATTTCCTGTTTTCTAAGCATGGTTGAAAATGCAGGCCCATAGAAACAGTGACAATTCTTAATTATGTCGCTTTGAGAGAGGAGAGTAAGAAAGCTTAAGTGATATGTAACTTCAGCGTACAGAGAGAAAATGCTCTTACAGCGTTCCTATGAAGTACTGGGTTTGGTAACTGAAGTTTACCTTAGTGCCTTTCCTCAAAGGACTGGTTGTCCACAGTCACATTACCAAAAATGAAGATCGAGTGCTCAGTTTGAAATAGACAGGACAGCTGAACATCCTTACCCTAGAACTATGTTTTGACTTGCAGGGACTCCTTCTTGCTTTGCCAAGACTCACCATGGTCCCAGATTTGTTTTGGATGTCCATAATTGTCTGTTACGCTGCATGGTACACAGTCTTAGGGGTATTTGGAATTTACTGGTGGCTTTTAAAATCTTTAAGACTCTTTGGAGAAAAGTATCTTGAAAAAGGTAACATACTATTTAAAGTTTACCTTAAGTAACAAAAATATGAATGTATGAAGGTGTAGCCTAAATTTGCTACAAGATATCTAGGGAAGCAAAATTAGCAGTCTGTGCAGGATTAATCCTTCCCATCTCTGTTGTCTAGAAAAAGATATCCTCTGTCCCCAGCTTTTGGTAGGATTCTCCTTCTGCTGCAGGAAGGAGTGCCTTCTGCCTAATCTGCCCACAGTGTTGTGTAAAAGTGGGTGTCCTCAGCTGTCACATTTGGATACTGGCAGCCTGGAGATCAAGGGTGCAAAGACTATCCAAAGGATTTCTTAAGAATAGTTTCTTTCCAGTTAAGTTTATTTATCATTTTTATGCTTATGTGCTGCCTAGGAAAATATTTTAAGAGAACAATGATATTTTCCAACCATTCCTGTCCAATTGGGAACTCCTAATTCAGTCTTTATACAAGAACGACATAGGGAGGAAGAAGGAAAAAAAGCAGAAAAGGAGAGGGGGAGAAAAAAAAAAAAAAGCTGGATGTTGAGATAGGCTGGAGAGAAGGTGCAAGAAGAATCCTTCCTGTAACAGGAATCTCTTGGAGAAAAAACCTAATTTCCAAATATTAAGAGGAGTTTGTTACAATGTAGGGATGGTGGGGAGAAGTGGAAAAGGGGTGTGTCATAACAAGAAGGAAAACAAATCAGAAATACAAATGTTCATGTATGTGGTTAACAGGATTGATGTACAACTGTGGCCATGCGCACTGAGCTAATTTTCAGTAGAGTTCTGGAATGCAGATATTTGAAATGTTAATATGCAAATCTCTCTCTCTCTCTCTCTTTTTTTTTTTTTTTTCCCCTAGCTCTTCTCACACTGTGCACATGGGGTACATGCACACCTAGGAGCTAAAATAGCGATTGAGTTGCTGGCCAGTAGCTGGTAGATGTATGCTGACACTGGCTATTGCTGTTCACTACTTTCTTGGTAGTTCTGAAGTTTTTTGAATGCTGGCTTTCTTTCCAGAACATTATGAAGCAGCCTGAGATGGTTGTAAACTTCCAGGGTTCATCCTCTGAATTGCTGCATACTGGTGGTGCGAGTGTGTGCTGACCTGCCGGCAGGATGAGTTGAAAGGCTGAGCCTTAAAGTGGCAGTGCCCAGGGAGGGCAGAAAGCAGAGCAAGGTGTAGCCTGAGCAGGTGATACGTTGGCATCTGTTCTGCTACTCTGTAGCTGCCTTAATTTCAGTTTGTATCTTGATCAAACCCTAAAGGAGTTGGATTTCTACAGCATGTTACTGCAAAGTATGAAACATCTTCAAAAGCTACTGAATTTAATAGAGTCAGAGAATGCTCAGCACCTCCTGTAACTCACTCTTAAATTTGCCTTCTGCCTATGTGATTAATCTATTTAATCATCCTTAATACCTACCTGGACACTGCATGAATGTCCTCTTGTTTTGTTTTGTTTTGTTTTTTTAATGTAGCTTCACGGAGGAAAGAGAAGAAAAGAGAGATACTTCCAGAAATTACAGTAATTTGTAGGTAGTGAAATAATGGCACACAGGCTTTATTTCTGTTCTGTCTGGGTAACTCAGTAAATTGTGTATTGATTATGCTAATGCAGCTGGTGTCTCTATTACTTGTCTGCAGAAATTATTCAAACATGTAGATAGAAGAGGCACTTGGCGAAGTTTCTGTCCTAGGAAAAAGGCTTTTTGTGCAGGATGGCTTTAAATTGAATTACTGGTCGTATGCTAATGGCAATGTATGGATCAGGTATTGAATTATAGGAAATGCTAAGTGCAAGTTAAAATATATATATTCCAAACTTCTTATCTCTGACAGTCTTGGTTGCTATATTAGGTTTATTTTCACATCTCTCAAGGAATGTGTTTTAGGAAGGATAAAATCAATAGTGGTCTATTTTTATGGTTTATTTTGGAATATGTGGCTTCTCCTGCTTTGTTTAACAAAGAGGCTCAGACATTCAGAGCAGGGTTTGTTGTTGTTTTTTTTTTTTTTTTTTTTTTTTTTAATTATTATTATTATTATTATTTTTTTAATTTATTAACCCACCTAGACTAGAAGAAAATAGACTTTTTTTTTTCAATTATCTTTTGCTTTTATTTCATTATAGTTTGTAATAGCTCTGAAGCTATAAATCTTAGCCAGGGTTCTCCACAAGGCTTCCCTTTCAGTGAAAATGTCCTTTTTCACGTTTCTAATTTTATCCATTTCTTTGCCATACAAGATTTTTCCCAGGCATCAACCAGAAATGACTTGTGCTCTTCCTTAGAATGCTAAAGCTACAGATTAACTCTTCAGTGAGGGGTTAGGCAGTGAAATGTGAGTGACATTTTGCAAACTAGGAAACCTGGGTATATTTTGTACTAACTTTATAAAATAATCCTTGATAGGCCAACTGTTTGTCCTATGAAGAAACTGGTAAGTAGAAGGGGTGAAATCCTCCCTGATCATCTGGTGTTGCTGTGGAGCAGTCAGGAGATTAACTCCATTTTTAGGACCGCTATATGAATATCCCCAGAGGTTTTCCTCCCAGTACTGTCTTCGATAGTACTGCTTATATATATATATTTACTTTAAAAGGTGGAATTGGTCTCAGTGTGGATGTTCTCTAGCACAAGCATGAGAGATGCTCTGAGGTGAAGCACAGTTTGCCTTGGGCACCAGCTGCACCAGGCTGAAGTGTCCTAACCTTTCACATCAATGCAGCTTCTGTTTAGAGATGCATATTTGCAGGGAAATTTTAGAAACTGGTATCTGTCCAAGCCACATGCTTTTATAATAGGAGATGGAGTTGACATGCTGGAATTCTATTTTCTTCTGTTGAGACAAACAAAAAAAGAAATCAGCAACCAACTCACTCTCAAGAAATATGATGTCACAGTTGTGTTGATCTGGGCTTTTTAGAAATTTTAGTATTTGGGTTTCTTGGTTGTTTTGTTTTTTGAAAGCTGCTCTGGGAAAATATGTGGTAGGGATTTGATGTTTTGTTTTAAGAGATAAGTCAATCAAAAAGAATTTCAACAGCTAACAAGATAAGTGACCTGTGGTCACAAACACATAATTGTACAGGCAAGGGATATTGCTGCTTTCATGACACCATTATTTCAAGTGGATCTGGAAGAGCTGCTGAGCAGTAGCATCACTTACTCAGGGTCTGGATTCATAAGCTATTGTTCTGGTTTCCTGAGGCCTCTCCTTTTAGTGGTATTCTATCACGTTGTTATCTAGAGTTTATCTTTTCTTATGCCAAGATGTGTTAAATGCTGTGCTGAAGATGGCACCCCTATGCACAATTACAGTCCTAGAGTATCACTAATTTTGACGTTTGAATTAATAACAGTGCATACATGCTACTGTTTTATTTTCATATAATGCTTGTGGTTTATTTTTTTGTTTTGTTTTGTTTTTAGTTACATTTCATTCTAGTGTTAGAGAGAGATTTTTTGCTTAGCAGCGTTCATAGTGTATCACTGTATAAGTTTTGCTTAAAGTTACCTTTTTCTCCTGAAGAAAATTGTTTACTTCAGGCACCATAATGTCCCTTACACATGAAGATCACAGGTAGGTGAGTTTAGCAGTGGTCACTGGCTGAAATAGGACTGAACTTTTCAGAATCTAGTTGTGGAGAGGTATAAATCACAGGAATTTAGCTGCTGCCAGCTGAATCTTTCCTGCTGCAGCATACCCAGAATGTTTGAAGAATGGCCTAGGTTAAAGCAAAGGCAATTGAGGTGCCCTTTTGTAGATGAGTTGTGTTAACCATGAGGTTTCCCTTATTCTGTGGATTTTGTGGGGTAGCTTTTTAAATTTTAAATGAAGTTTAATTTTCCTGACAGCTGAATATTAGCAAGTCTTTGTGCCATGGCTGCTGTGACCTATGTGGTTCTTTTGGGACTCAAATTTCTGTAGGAAGATTGAACAACAACTTAGAAAGATGCTAACCACTACATTGCTTGTAATGATGCTTGTTTCCTTTTTTTTAGTGTGGTAAAGACATAGCAGACAACCTCTGTTGAAAGCAAACCTCAGCATCACTCTGAATTTTCAGATCTCATAATAGTGGGGAAGTTTTATAGAATCATAGAATGGCCTGGGTTGAAAAGGACCCCAAAGATCATCTAGTTTCATGATCTTTAACCAGTTGGTTTCACAAGGCATACACTGGCATAGTTTTGTACGACAGAAGTGGACATGGGAACAATTTGTTAGGCAGCATCCACATTTGTTTTATTTCCATTTTAAGATCTAACCATGTTGGTGCAGCTGTGAGCCAAGCATGTGTCAGCATGCACCCTTCCTGCAGCCAGTGAGGGTCTAGTGCTGCTGGAAGAATTCAGTACATAAAAATCGAAAGGACCAACTCTTGTCTTTTGGTTTGCAAACATTTAAGTGGAGATGCACTTTAAATGAGAGCTTGTTTACTTCTGGGCAAGCAGTGCTTGGGTTTGAAGTTTCTCACTTGAGTTGGTTCTTAAGAAGTTAGTGTTTGGGCACCACCTCAGTTCCTTCAGGAGACTTGAATATGGTGGAGCTCCTAAATGACCTTTTGGGGCTGAGTTCAGAGTTGAGAGGTGTGGTGGCAGAGGATTTCACTGGTAGATAACAGCTATGCATGGCACCCTTGCTGCGGCTGATCAGTAGGTACTCATAGCCACAATGGGTTTCCTCTCGGGGCATGGAGCGCTAAACTCTGCAGTTCTTGAGATCGTTTTTTGGGTATAAATCCAAGCTAGTGGTGGGCATGATCGGGGCAGACAGAACTACTGCTTCACAGGTTTTGCTGGGGGCTTTGAGGGCATCACAAAAGGTTGTGGGTGTTTATTTTTCTTAATTGTACACTAGTTGTATTCATTATTTTTCTTCCTGTATAAATAAACCTTACTGATCCGTGCTGCCTTAGTGACAAATCTCTGTTTAGCTTAGCTTTTATTTGACCACGTGTCCCTTGAAGCTCTCCTTTTCCTGGGTTGCTCCCCTTGCTCCCTTTGTCTGACCAGTTTCCTTCGCCTTTGAGGGCTGCTGGGGTGACTGCTTTTGCATGACAAAGAGAAACACGCTGCATTGTTGCGGCCCGAGTTGTGGTGGTTTTGTGGCTGCAAAACGCAAGCTCAAGTGAAACAGTCAGCTCATCAATTCTTATTTTGTGAAGTATTTTACATACTCTGGGGCTTGGGGAAACTTTATCAGATCTCTGTCGATGTGAGAAGAGCGTGTGTACTAGCCATAACTCCGGGCAGAGAGAGAGCTTGTTTAGAGTCCTTCATGATATTGAACTGGACTCTTTCTTATGTATTTTGAGTTTCTGGTATCCTAAGAGTGTCCTCATGAAAACTGGTGTTTTTTTCTAGAAACCCAGATTCTAGAAACAACCAATTGTATGAAGCCTTGGGGTTGGCGGAGGAGGAAAAGAGGTACTTGTGGAGTGTGTATGCATATTTCTTCTTTTGAATATGTGCCTAGATTTAAATGTCTTGCACTCTGTTATCCCAGGGACCAGGAAAAGGTCCCCAAAGCTTTGGATTTTAACTCAGTTGCATGATTATTTGTTGAGGCCTGAATTCTTGAAAGTGGAAATGCTGTAGAAGTGCAATCTTTCCCCTTTCAGCTTTTTCCCCTGTGGAGGGAGAAAGAATTCTTTTCTCTCCGCTGCTCCCTAACTCAAAGACCTCAGTCTGTTGGAGAATAAAAGGGAAACGGTTCTGCCTTCCCTTGCTTTGACTTTGGAGAGTCAATCTTACTTAGGCATCATATCAGAGCATACCAGAACAGCTCTCTAATTTTTTCAAAATAGCAGCAGAATGGCTCTTGTTAGGTTCACTTTGGCCCAACAAGTTCTGAATAGTGAATCTGACAAGAATTGTATTGTTTTTAGTTCTACTGCTCTGGAAAGCTGTGAGCCAAGGGAAAGATGCTGGCATGGTGTATACAGTAAAACAGCATGGGGTTAGTTCTCCTTTGCAAGGCTGTCTGCACTGCTGAGATGCTTGCTACTGAATATAGGATTATTATTATTTTTTTAAAAGCTTATGTATGAATTAGTGCACACCTCTCCCGTCTGCCAGGAGAAGGCTTTCTCTTATCCGTGCCGAATGAGTGAGGAGAATCTTAAAGCCCAGAATTATTCCCTCATTTACTTCCATAATCAAATACAGCAGAGTGCACTGAAGACATATCCTAGAGGAAATTCGTTTCCTTTTTTAAGGCATGAAACCTATTTGGTCACTCTACTCTCCGACACGTAGCTTCCCTATAGCAGTGTATTCTGTGTGCACTTTGCAGTGGTCCTGTATCAGCTTTTCTTGGCTGTGTTGTACAAGCATCGCTGGCTTTCAAAACTGAAGCTGGTGTAAACGTGCTTGAAACCCTTCAGCTATCTGGCTAACATGTTTTGTTTTGTTTTGTTTTTGTTTTGTTTACCTTTTTTTCTGACAGTAGAAGAAAATGAAACAGAGGACCTGCAGGCAGGTGTGGGACACACAGCCGCACAGACTGGTAATGCCGAATTCCTTCATTAGTGTTTGATTACTGTTTGACAACAGCGTGAAGAATTTTTGTATCGGGGTGATTTTGAAAAGCCTGTATTCCTCCTCCTTGGTTTCAACCTAGAATGTATTTTAGGGGCTCACAATGGATTTTTCTCCTCCTCGTTTTTCAGTTCCTAAGAATTAAAAATTCTTTCTCAGGTAGCTCAAGACAATGAGATGTCATCGAGATGCTTCAGAAAATCCAGCATGGTTTTCATTTTGTTGCTGCCAGAAATAATCCTCTTCTGCAGCCCCCACCTAAACACCCACCCAATGCCATTTCAGATGAACTTGAATATTCATTCAAAACTGTTTTCACATTTGTAAAATATGTGGATAAGAACTATTTCTTTTATTTATTTGTATAATTTCTTACCAGTTAGATAAGACCAGGTACCAGATCTCTGGATCCTTTGTCCTATTGAAGAATAAGGTGAACAAAACTGCTGTTTGAGTCAGGATCATGGGAAAATGTTTCATTAGTAATTGTGGAGAAATAATTGTTAATTCTCTATGACAATGAGGACTCTTTAATTTTCCAAATTTCATTTGATTCTGAGAATTCAAAGAGGATGTGCTATTTAAGCATTCTTTGGTACTGGTTTACAGAATTTTATGTGAAGAGCAGGAGTGCCACTTCTGAGCAATCTCATTCATTCAGGTGAGGTCACCTTTTGGAGTAAGGAATGTTCAAAGATCAAAGGTGATCAGAGGGCTGGAGCACCTCCCCTACGAAGACGGGCTGAGGGAGCTGGGCTTGTTCAGCCTGGAGAAGAGAAGGCTGAGGGGTGACCTTGTTGCAGCCTTTCAGTACCTAAAGGGAGCCTACAAACAGGAGGGGAAATGGTTTTAAGTTGAGGGAGGGAAGATTTATGTTGGATGTCAGGGGGAAGTTCTTTACAGAGAGAGTGGTGAGGTACTGGAACAGGCTGCCCAGAGAGGTTGTGGATGCTCAGTCCCTAGAGGTGTTCAAGGCCAGATTGGATGGGGCCCTGGGCAGCCTGGTCTAGCATTAAATGTGGAGGATTGGTGGCCCTGCATGTGGCAGGGGGGTTGGAGATTCATGATCCTTGAGGTCCCTTCCAACAGAATGGCCAGCCATTCTGTGATTCTGTATGTTCCTAAAGGCCACTGATCTCAGAGTAAGTAACTTGCTTGAGGACAGTTGAGATTATTGCTCTCAGGAAGGTGAGGAATGCAGTTATTTTTGTGGTCAGCTGGGACGCTTTGTATTTCTGTTGTTTGCATCCTATGGTTTTTTGTTTTGTGCCTTTCCTCGTTTCTAGCAGCTCTGTGCAAAAAACGCTTTGTTTAAAAAATGAGTTCTCTGCTTCTTTCTGAGGGGTAACATCTCAAATTCTTCTGTATGTACTTAATTCTCCACTTAACTATGTGTAAGCTTGGGTGGGGAGGGATGGGAAATAAAAAGCACACTTGTACTCCTACAAACACACTGATTTGAAGAAATAGAGAACTGTGAAACCGGAGATCAATGTGACAAGAAATAGTTACTTTTCTGTGTTTTTTTGTTTGTTTGTTTTTGTTTTTTCCCTTAACATAGTTCTCAATGGTTACATTGTCTCACAAGTTATTTATTTCCCATCCTGTCCGGTGCTGTTCTCTGTCTGTTTCTAGGTGAGATTTAACATTCTCTTTTTCTCCATAGCAAGAATGTAATGCCGATGTTAAAAACAAAAACCCCTTCTGATAGAGCGAGCAGTACAGAAGGCCCACTTTGTATACACACTGCCAGAAGTTTTTATAGTAATACTTTGTATCTACACTCTGGATCTAACCATTAAATGTGCTTTTTATAGAGTACCAAGTTATAAATGTAGTGCAGCTACGGCATATTAATCTTACTGCAGAAATTTAATGAGGCAGTTGTTTTGCGATGGACACTATTGGGAGCAGAGAGCGACAGAGTTTTACTTTACCACTGAGCTGAAGAAATATTCCTTGCCTGGTAATAATTATAGCCACATGATCTTAGTTTTCCTTTCTTTTGCCAGCACTTTTCCATGCAGAAGTGTCTTGGAAGGAGGTCCACTGCAAGGCAGGGAAATGGGTTGGAAAGTGGGCTGTTTTCTTGGTAGTTTGATGTTTAGTTATGGATCCTCACAGCACAGGCAGAAGTATGTTAGATAAGTTTCAAGAATACAGTTAGTCTTTGCCAGTCCACCAAGATGGCTTTTAGATATTCATTACTTTTACTTGACTTTTATATGGGTTATAAAAAGTAAATGTGGTGAAACCTCATTTTTACATGGACAGAATAGAATTTCTGCTGGTTGGCCTGAAACCGCTCCCATACTTGAAATTAATTGAAGTCCATGACTTTATTGCCTCCAACACTTCTAAGCCAATGCGATTTTTCATTTTCCCCAAAGTTGCAGTTTTATTAGACCAAGTTACAGCAATAATATCCCTTATGAGGAGGAGGAAGAAGGGATAGGGAGAACCACCTGCCAGGGAACACAGTAATGAGAAAATCATACTTCTTTTAATTTCCATTTATAAATAATGTTAACGTAATCAGTAACAGAATAAAACTGTTCTTTTTCTTCTTCTTCTTCTTTTTTTTTCTTAAGTGCCTTAATAGACTGAATTTATTTCTGTTCCAAAAATACGACCCTTCTTTCCATACCAGATAATTTTGAATGATATCTGCAGATGGAGCTGGTGTGTGTATTGTTGCTGATGCATGTTAAAAATTTTCAGTAGGTCTCTGAAATGGGAAAGGGAAGCCTCTGGAAATGACAGTGGTGTTTGCAGATATTGGGGAAGGTAATCCTATTGTCAAGCCAGTCTTTGTTGAGGGACTTGTCTGCAGTAGTTGGAGATATCTGGGAGAAAGAAATGTGAGGGATGATTGACACCCTAAAGTCCATGTGTGAATGTGAGCTTTAAACAGGAGGTTACACAGAAAGTATAGTTGACTGCGCATTGCATTTCTAACATGCATTTAATTCTAGAGTTTCAAAATAGGAGCACAAGTAAGGCAGCTTATCCTCAGGTTAAGTAATCATTTAGGGTTAGAACAGCTCTTGATAGAAGCCGTTTGTTGTTGTAGCAAAAAAGAGTCTATTCACGAAGCATCTCTGTTTAAATACCACCTTGTTTCTGAGGTGACAACTTTTCATGGGAGCGAATCATGTTGGAAATGCATTCATGGAGAGGGGCTGAGACTGCCAGAACTCGTTTCACAAAGCTATCGCAGGCTAAACTTGAACCTACGTCCCAGAGGGTCCCACTTAAGTGTTGACCTAAAAACAAATGTGCCAGTTGGCTAGAGCATGTATTCTGAAGTCACAGCAGAAGGGAATAAGCTTGACTGACTTCTGTCCCTGTAGAGTTTATATCTGCAAATGCAGAAGGAGAAGCAAAACATTTATTAGACTTAAAATGATTCTAATTTTAATAACTAGTCTCTAAGTAGGAAGCTTTAAATGGAGTGATTCTTCAGGCTTTTGTGCATTAAAGGGTGCATGTGCATACGTGTGTGTGTGTGCTGCTGAATTCCTGTAAAGTGCAAGTGCTTCTGAATAATAAGTCTGGAGAATTCCCTCCCCTCCCTTTTCTTTCCTTCGGCATTGTACTTAAAGCAGAGTCAGACACTACCCTTATTTTAAAACAAACAGGTCTGTAAACTTTATGTGCAGCATTTAAATACTCATGTTAAAATTCAAACCCAGTGCCCACATTTCCCTGAGTGCTGTCAGTTTTATGAGATGAAACTTGGAGCTTGAGCTGAACAACTAATAGCAGCGATGTGCACATGGTGCCTTCCAACAAGTGCTTAATGATGTTGGGTCAGTTTGCAACAGTTAAGACAATTATTTCTTTTTCTGAGCTGCTAAGAACCCTGTGATGTTCTAAGGACTTTTATTAAAGTTGCAAAATATCTTGGAAAACTATGTGACAGTGTGAGTTATTTAGATTCATTTAGAGCATTTAAAAATAGCTACAGCTCCATCCAACTCGTGTGCTTGATTAGCATCCCTTTATGCTTTGTGGAAGTGCAGGCTGCTCCTTTACTTGGAAGCTGCTGCCCAAGTTGAAGTTTTTATGCTTGCAAGAACCTTGTGAATGTCACACAAAAATTGTGCTCTGGCTGCACAGCAAATACGTTTTTGCCTTCAGAATGTGTTTTTTATTTTTTAAAATTAATCTGGTTTTCCTCTGTAATACAACTCCTTTAAAAATAAATTCCGCCCTTTACCCCTGTCAAAGAAATTCCTCGGTTTTGATCACGAGCCACATAGCATGAGGAAGGCTTCCTGACATGGGCCTCTTCCAGTATGTGCTGTGGGTCTGTCTGCATCTGAACAGCTGAAGGCAGGGGTGCAGCAGCGTGACCTGAAGGACACAGGCAGATGGGGAGAGCCCTGACCCTTGTGGCGGACATCAGAATGCCCACACTGCACACTGGGCAGAGTGGGGATGGCTGTGTCCACATCCCTGCAGGGTGCTGGCAGAAGACTTTTAGAGTGGAATCCCCCTCCTCCTCCTCACCTCATCCCTGTTCTAATATGAATGTAGTGGTAGCACGTTTTGGTTACTCTGTTCTCATGTGACTGTGTGTGATCCTAACCAGTTGGACCACTCACTGAACTGGGTCCACAGCCACCGTTGTGCTATCACTGTGGACACGGAGCCAGCTAGCCTCTCACTTGGCTAAAGGATGGAACATCTTAACATGCACTTGCACAACCCCCTGTCATTATGTGAGTTTATCCTTGTTTGTTAAAATGACTCATCTCAGTCTCAGCTCTCAAATAAAGGGAAAAATGAGGTGGCCAAAAAGGAGAAGGGAAGAGTGGTGAAACACTTGCATTCCTTTTGTTGGAATGTACACAACCGTTTTTCTTCTGCCTTTCACTTGTTGTACTGTGGTTCCCAAGGAAAAACAAAGTTAAGTGCCAGCTTGCTTTATTAGGGAAGGCAGATGGTTTTATTTCTGTCTTTGAAGGAAGCTTTTAGTGAAGTGGGCGAAAAGTCAGGAGCAGTTAAACCTTCTCTGTTCCTCAGAGGAGGAGGAAAAATCCTAGATTTTTTTTATCTCACTTTGCATTGGTCAGCAGCAGGACTGAGGCAATGCAGTGAATTGCATGGCTTCTCTGCGGAGGGCATAGGGATGAGTGAGAACATTTCTTCTGGTTTAGAAGTTTCAGCTGGGTTCAAAACTGCTACTCTGAGGCTGGAACTGTTCTGCTTTCCTCTAAATACTTGTTAACATGTCAAACAGACAAAGCTCTCCTTGTGTCCCATTTGGGTTTTACAATAGTTAGTTTCCAGTTTTCCATGATCTGGCAAATGCAGGAACTTTGTTGGGTTTGTCTGAAGTCATAAACAAGTTCAAGGTATAGATAAAGTTTTGACCCAGGGTCTCATCTTTCTGGGGCATTGTTTGTGTCAGGCAGCACAGTGATGGAGTGTTGGAATGGGCTGTGAAATAAAGATTAATTTTGTCTTTATGTAAATCAGGTGTGTTAGTCTCTTAATTCTGGTAGTTTCCTGTGAAATGCTGTAGTTACCAGAGAAAAGAAGCTCCTGCACACTCATTGATTTGATTTTTGTTCTAATTGAAAACTAATTGCATAGGTGGTTTATCCTTTCTTATAATGATCAAAGCAGCTTCTATAGCTCTGATAAAATTGACAAACCTAACATTGAAGCATGGAAGAACTGCTCGAGTGAGAAGTGCTGCATTTGTGGGAACAGAAGAGGAATTTTCCTTTCATCAAGATTAGAAAAAAGATTAATGAATGAAACTCTTTTGCTTATTTAGCAATAAAATCTACAGCATTCTGCAGGCTGGTGCCAAATGTGTTTCTTCTCATCCTTACGATAAGAAACTTATGATTTTTTTTTTTTTCTTTCTTTAAAAGTTCTCTGCTTAGATGCCTGAGGTCATGGTCTTGATTTTCTTTCAGACCCTAACTGTAAACTAGAAGACAAGACAGAAGATGGAGAAGTGTTAGACTGTAAGAAAAGGCCGGATGAAGGGGAGGAGTTGGAAGAAGAAGCTGTGCACAGCTGTGACAGCTGCCTCCAGGTGTTTGAGTCACTGAGTGATATCACAGAACACAAGATTAATCAATGTCAACTGACAGGTAAACAATTCCACTTTGTGGCTTCTTCCATTGTTCTGTTTCTGATTCCTATTTTCTGCTTCTGATCTCCCTCTTCCTTTCTCAGCTGTTTTACTTCTGCATTTGAATGCTTAGAGGTGAGACCTTTATAAATATGTTCTAGGACAGCGTTATACTGTAAATAGGGCACTATAAATTTCCTTCATAGTGAAGGGTGTACGGATAATTACTGCATTGTCACTGTATTTAAAGTGTGCTTTAGCTGTCTGTGTGCCTGGTTCAACTTTCCATGTTTGCTTATATGAATATTTTCCTCAGTCACTTGTGAACACAAGAGGGTGTTTGTAAATGGGGTTTAAGTATGGTTATATAATAGATGAATTTACACAACGGCATGTTGTAGGTCTGGGCTGGATGTTGCTTTAGTTTACTATGATAAATACAAATGTCTCTAAATGACTGTACAATAATCACTAACTGAAAGTTACTATCAAACAAATTGATAGAAAGAAAATGAAATCCTGGTCTTAGTCATGGAGCAAAACTGAGTACTGATCAAATACAGCTGACCTGAATAGAGTTGAGTGAATGAACCTGTAGCTGAGCTGAATTCCCCTCTGAAATGACTGTATACAGCCCCCTGACATAGACATCATATGAAATCTGCTGAAGTAGTTTTGCTTTTTAGATTTGGTAGCTCTTTCAATGGTACATGCTGTAAGTTCAAGTAGATCAACAGAAGAATGTTCATAACAGAAGGACATATTTTTTATTAGATGAAACTTGAGTTTTGGCCTCTACAGTGTAAAATGTATTTTTTGTGCAATACTGTTATGATAAAAACTTTTCACTATTAGAACACTGTAAACAAGGAAAGACATCCTTCCCATTTGGGAATGCTTTAAGAGAGTGTGTGCATGCTCATGTTTGGAGAGCTTTCCAGGTTATTTTGGTTTCAGTAAACTCATGAGAGGATGACTTAAAGTTCAAGTGGCAGTGCTGCTGTTGAGGGTGAAGTACAAAAAGAAGGTGACCAGAAGAGCAATAAGTGGGCAGAAGCTGATGGAAGGAGAAATGTGTACTTTTGTTAATACAGTTCTTTGCCTTTTCTTGCTTTTAAAATGTTATAACTTCAGATACAGTCAGCTTAGTCATACTCTAATCACTTCCACAAACTTCTAGAATGCATTTCTCTATATTGCTGGTGGTTTCAGTCAGTATGGATGTTCTCCTTGGACTTTAAAATACTCTTGATGTTTTCATATCCTTTTGTTTGTACTTTTCTTCTTTCTTTTGCTCTGTTTTGAAAAATGGGTGGTTTCAGCTTGTCTCTTCTTTCCCTCTCTCACAAGGCCTTCCCATTGCCCACTCTCCACCGCATCTCCCATTTACTACTTCAGATCACACTTATTCATCCCTGTTTTTCACTTTGATGTGATATATCAGTTTCTCCTTTCAAGTTGGTTAGTTGCTGCTCTCCCTCTATACCAAAAATTGGATTCCTTCTTCTAGTTGGGTTCTCTGCTTTAATTCTGCAATCAGAATGCTGTGACAAGTCCTTGCACAGTTGAATTAGGAAACTGAAGAAAAAAGGGAAAAGGAGAACAGTATGTAGGAAGAAGTCTGGAATGCTGTTCCTGAAAACATCCATTCTTGCTCAGAATTGCAGTGCTAAATGAGAGTGAAAACAAGAATACTGGATTAGTCAATTTGGGGTGAACATGTAAAGGCAAGAAAATATGTATGGTATCAAAGAGTGGGGGATTGAAAATTAATCTAGAAGAAAATTAAGTCCCTAAAAATACCTTTGCCTCTCTTTTAAGGAAACTTGTGTTAGTGAATGAGTAGAGATCAGACTGTTGGAAAGCTGATGAAGTGAATAAAAGCCTGAACTATGGATGCTTCTGAGATACCAAGTTGCCAAAAAGCCAGTTTTTCTCAGTTTCCAAAAATAAATACCCAAAATACACCTTTAAGTTGAGAGAAATGTCTGTATGGAATGGCCAAAGCTGATGTTTCCCTCTTTCTCCAGCACAAGAATATTAAACAGGTGGCTAATGACATGAATTCAGTCTAGGATCTGAAATTGCATGTATGACCTAATAATAAGAATGACATTTATAATAAATCTCATCCTTTTAGGTAGTTGTTTGTTTGTTTGTTTTTAGTTTATCAGTGACAAACAGTTGTCAGACAAGCAGCTTACCTTTTTCTTCTGAAGCACAGTAAATATTTGACAATATAAAAGCATGCTTTTAGAATTTCAGGCAAGCTCTTTGGATTCTTGACTTTCTCTTGGACTTCCATCCATGCCTTTGGGTGCCATGCTTAAATGAAAAGCTTTTGAAAAAAAGTGCTATCATGAACGGGGTTGTACATCTCACCACAGTCTTTCCGAAGCAACAAGATGTTACATTACTGCTCTGGTTCTCTCCCTTTGGAGGATGCCCTATGAAACTAGCAGACACCCTAAGCTATTTTTCAGTTGTTAATTTCTAAAGCAAGTCAAAAGGTTTACTAAAATTGCCTGTGTCGTATGTGGAAGAGGGCAGATTGCATCATCTGTCCTGATGTATGATCTTTCCATTGTGGACCTCGTCTCAGGGACTGAAGAGTCATCTAGACTGTTTAGAAAGTTTCCTATTTATTTAAAAATGCCAGGGCTGTCAGCCTCCTCAGTTTGTAGAGCTTCAGAACTCAAATATGAACTCTGAGTTTCTTCTGAGCAAGAAGCTGCGGCTTGTCTAGATCTTGCTGAGCTTTGGAGGTACTCTCTGAGATGCTTAGGGAACTGCTCTGTATGCAAGAATTTGTGAACTGTGCTTACTGACCTAGCTGTGGAGTTATTTTCCACACAGATATACTAGGAAGAGCAACAGTGAAATTGGTGGAACATACAAGAGGGCATAACAGTGGCTTAAAGCACCTCTTAGTAAATCCCTGGAGTATGAAATCTGAGAGCTGAGTGTCAGAGTGTCTTGGCTGACACTAATTCTCCCAGCCTGCTACCATGCTTGAGAATGGAGCTTTCCATTGTAGATTCTCAAATTGATACTGGGGCTTCTAGTTTTGTGTGTTCTTCTGAAGCATTAACGCTTCAGGAGGAGGAATGATATTCCTCTGCTGAATCTTCATTCCACTCTCAACCAAAGACAGAAATGGGGAGAAGGGAACTGATTAGCTGGATTATTAAACAGCAGTCCCAGTCTCTCAAAGTGTCAGTCACCGTCACCTATTCAGGGCATAGTGAAAGATGAGAGATACTTTACAACCCGGTGAGATTTGGCTCTCAGAATCTTCAGTTGCTGTCCTCTTGCAGATTTTTTCAAGGGAGAAGAAAAAAAGTTCTCCCCAACTGGTTCCTTCCTGTAATCTGCCATTTGAATTGAACTCATGTTCTTTTTCTAGAGGAGGGCATAGCTGATCTTTTATTCTAATGTGTGTGCTATTGATGTTTTCAATTTGGGTCTGATCCAATAACTATTGAAGTCAATGAAAAGGTTCCTATTGACTGCCGTGGGGGATGGAACAAGCCCTTTGTGAGCTATTTAATAGTATTTTTTGCTATCTGAAATTCTTGTACCGAAGCTTTCTGAAAAGGTGATGATTTATTTATGTTAATTGCTGACAAATTCTGTGATGTTTGTGAAATACAGATAATGGATAAAGGGGAGGAAGTTTTAAAATAAAATTCTTTGCAGTACTTTTATAGTCACTGACAGATAAGATGCTGTACTATATTAATTTAGTCATTACAAAAGATTGGCAATAAAAATATGGTTTTAATAGTGTTTCTCTCTGAAGTTAATGCTTTTCTCACTCTATCCTTCCTGCAGTATTTCCATTTAATAACTCATGAATCACTTGCACATTGTCATCCTCTAAATTGTGTACATAAGTAAAGGACTCAGTATGATTATGAATCTTCTGTCCTTCTAGTATAAGACAATTTGGATCCCACTGTAGGACTGTAAGTGCAGGATCAAATCTGGTGCACTGCCGATAAACCTCCAGCTTCGCTTCTCATCTCCTGGAGAGAAGCTGGACAAAAAAATAATCTTTTGCATTTCTGGTATATATGCTAGTATAAGACACAATTTGTCAGACACTTGCCCTAATGTTTTTCTTCACTGATAATCTCTTTCCTCTGCACACTGCTTTATGCTGTTTGTTTCACCTTTCCATCCAAACCCTGGGGGCTGTACTCTAGGATGTCTTCCCTGTGTAGGTGAGAACTGCCTTTCCTCTGGCTTTGTGTGTCCAAAGGCATTCATTGTCACTGAGCTTGGTTCTCTTGATGATCCTGTAGACTGCTTTGGAATCAGAAGTCATAATAAGAGCATCCTATGGTGCTGCCTTGCACTCAATCAGTTATGCACTGAATACGCCAATCTAGTTGGGTGACTTGTTGAATAGCTCAACAGTGATGGAAGTGTTGATACACAGCGGATAGCTGTCCTGAATGCCAGTAAACCTAGTGCACATTATGTAACTTCCATACTAGCCATGCTGGTATCACCAGCTGTAAAACTTGTTTGAAAGCAGGCTACTGAATCATATGCAACCATACTTTCAATACTAAGGGTGTTCTGAAGGAAAAGACATAAGCTATTTTTCCACTGGGGGTGTTTATTTTACCTTTAGCTGATTAGATAGACCTAGTTTTATGCTTTGGGTTCTAGCTGAATGCTAGAGGTTTGACAGGTTGAGTAAGTATGTCAGGTAGAGTTGAGTCAAGAGCCGTTTGGTTGTGGTGCTCGGAGATATGATTTAGCAGAGGCTTGTTAGAGTTAGGGTACTATGGTTAGGCTGCAGTTGAACTTGATGATCTTTGAGGTCCCTTCCAACCTGAGTAATTCTACGATTCTATAATTCATGTTGTTGCCTACCTTGTTACTGATGCTGAAAACGTTACTTGTTACTGCTATGAATCCCATGCCAATGAAGAGATGCAGTTCTGCTCTCCTAGCTGTGGTCAGAAGGTCCCCTCGTGCATCATCTAAAAATATTCCCAGCAGGTA